ATTTGAATAAAAATGGCTCCCATGGACTCCTTGTGAGTGATACTATTAGGAGGTATGGCCTTCTTGGAGTAGCTGTGGCCTTGTTGGAGTAAGTGTATCACTGAAGTTTGGCTTTAAGATTTGAGAAGCTCAAGCCAGTCCCAGGGTAACTCACTCTTCCTGATGCCTACCCATCCAGATGAAGAGCTCTCAGCTACTTCTCTGATATCATGCCGGCCTGCTTGCTGCCATGCTTCCCACCATGGCTATAATGACTAAACTTCTGAACTGTAAGTCAGACTCAGATAAATGTTTCCCTTTATAAAAGTTGCTGTGATCATAGTGTCTCTTCCCAGCAATAGAACTCTAACTAGAACATAAGGCATCACTATGTACTTCTGAGTGGCCTGGAAATCACTATGTAAAACAAGCTAACCTCATGTTCACAGAGCCCTTTCCAAGTGCTGCAACTAAAGGTACATACCACCAAGCTTGCTTTGAACTAGCCTTAAATTTCTAGTTTCAGTATATTTTGCATTTTCTTCTTTTAGGACTATGGATGATACCCTTTTTATTTAATGAGGAACAAAGAAAGTACTATTTCAATGTCCTATAAAGAATTCATTAAAGTTTTCTCTTCTCAGTATCTAAGCTTCCTAGCATAGTTTTTCACTTGTCTATTGTATTCCCAACACAGGAACCTTTGCTCTCTCTCTGTCTCTCTCTGTCTCTCTCTGTCTCTCTCTCTCTCTGTCTCTCTCTCTCTCTCTCTCTCTCTCTCTCTCTCTCTCTCTCTCTCTCTCTCTCTCTCTCGGTGTCTTAGGGGTTTTACACTGTCTATTAAATCTATTCCATCTCAACCATATCTTCATTCAAAAGTTGTCTTTTTAGAGCAGTAATCCATGGACACTATTCAAAATTACAAGTTCTATCCTATTACCCCAACCACATGGTTGACTCATTATCATCATTATGTGACATGTCCTATATGATGATGACATTTACAAAGGTCACTGCACATGCTTGTGTGTACAGTTTGTGTGTGTTTCTATATTCATATGTGTGAGTGTGGATGCACATGTAGCTCAGGTGTCCATCCTGATCCTTACCTTATTTGAGACAGAGTCATTTGCCCCAGCCTATACTAGCTATCCCCTGAGCTTCTGAGGATGCTCCTATTTCTACCTCTCATCTTACTTTAGGAATATTAGGAGCAAGACATACACTGTTGCATCCAGTCTTACCTGGCTTCTGGGGATTTGCCTATGTGACAAGCACTTTTCCTACCAAATAATTTTTGCAACCCTCTCTATTATCCCCTTTTGTTTTGATTTTTTTTTAGCTCTTGCCACTAGAATGTAAGTTTAAGCAGAAGAAGGAATTTGCTCTGCTTTGTTCTTTCATGTTCCTGATTTTTAAAAGAGCCGTGAGCACAGAGTAGATGCCCAATTCATGTTGCTGAATGAAAGAAGTAGTATACATTTAGATGAATACTCCGTACAGTTAAATAGAAGAAAATAGTTTCTACTGGTAATGTCAGAATAACATTTGAAAGTCACTTTGAAAATGGACATCTGAGATGAATAGTTTTTTCCAGACCATAATAACAGCTTGAATATGTTCACCCTGATGTAGAACAATTTAATATTGAGTGTTGGGTGTATATATGAACACAGAAAAAAAAATCCTTTTCTGACACCAAGCTGAGGCTAGAGAATGCAAAGCTCCCAATGCAAAAGCAAACAAACCAAACTATTAGTATGGAGGTACCTTGCCAGGAGGCTCGATTTAGTTTGTGATAAATTTATGGTAGAATTGCGGAAGAGCTTACAAGGTCACTGAGGGAATGAAAAAGCTCTTGCCCTCAGCACTGGCTGGGAGTATGGAGAACAGCTAAAAGATGAACTATCTTGAAATTTTATGCCTTTAGAGGACAATATGATACAAGGTATGTAGAATGTATCTCTTCATTTACTCCTGATCTGCATCAACACAGTACTCTATTTCACTTTGCCATCACAATCTGGACTTTGAAGTAACAGAGAAGTTTAATGATTATGGCTGCAAGTCATTAGCCTGAGAGGCTCTATGTACACTCTAGGTAGAAAAGTACTTATCACACCTCAATGTACTGTCATTCTGAGCAATTTAATAGCAAGATCACAAGCAGAACATCTGCCGATGAGCCTGATGCTGGGCCCTGTGTCAGTTGTTACTGTAGATGAAAAGGAGCAGGTTGGCCATCCTAATGTGAGGAGGCACCCAGGCCAGGCAAAACACAGCTGGACATCTTTCCACTCTGGCTTGGCCATGGATCATCTGTCCTTAAGTTACACCAAGGACTGAATTTACCATTGCTGGATACGGTATGGGAAGCCCCAGGATTCTAATATTGGAATTCATTTCACACCGTGATGAACAAAATCCCGAAGCAGTGCCTTTGATAGAACACTGCATCTGTAATGAAAGGGAAGTAGGAGAAAGAAATAGGCAAGTTTCTTTTATTTTGCTCTCAATGATAATTGTCATGGTATTTAATTCACAGGAACATTAGTGGAGAAATTGTTTATGTTAGTCACCATGCAAAGTGCTCAAATTAGAGAGCTAATAAAATTTCTTCTCAGTGAAACTAGAAGACAGAAGGCAAAGTAGGCACTGGGAAGTTTATATTTCAGTATCAAGAGTATTATGAATTATAAATGTGTAAGGAGTAACATTCTGCTTGCCTGGGGAAAAAATTCATAGATTTGGTAGCCTTTGAACTATACCTGGAGCATTCTAAGAGCTGTTGTATAAGGAGGAAATGGAGGAGAAATTCCAAGCTTTTTGTTAGAAATGCAGATAGATATAACCCTGAAAGCATATAGCATGTTACATAAAGATAATCATTTGTGTTACATATCTTAAATTCTTGACATTTTGAAGAGAATTGGAAAGAAGATTTTAAGTGACTTTTGGGAATGTAATGACTTTGCAGTGATTAACCTCTGATAGTTCCTATGCGTACTCTTAGGCTTCCTGGATTAGGACTACCAGGATAACTCTTGACACCTACACAAAAGTCTCTTTTGCCACCTTTGTTCCTCCTCATAGAGCATCAAGATCAAATTTCTTTGATTGCACAGTTAGTTCTTCTTGAAACCATCAAAATAATGAGCTTCCAGATGGGATTTGAATGTAGAGTTCCTAACTCTGGGGATGCTGTTACCAATACACTCTGTGATTTGAAAACCAGGATCTGAAAGCTTTGTGCCATGACACACATGGACTATAAAGCCCAGCAGAAGGGTCGCTAGGGATTCGTGTGGAAAAGACATAGTGCTGACACTGTCGAGGAAAGAAAGACATAGCATGTTTAAACAAATTTATAAACAAGAAACCTTAGACCCTAAGACATAAAATGACAAAAAATATTTACAGTTCCAGTGTTGATCTCAGTAAGCCTTACATAATGGAGTACTTGTGTTTGGAGCTAGTGGTTTCCGGAGATGACAGACAACAGTTAGCTACACAGCATTGCAGTGAGAAGTGCATGCTACAGAGAGGAGGAAGGCTGAATGTCACTCCCTTTAGAGAATAATCCTCATTCCTCTTAAATGTTTTCCCATGTCACCAAGTATGAAGTGCTACTGACAGGGTATATGTAAAAAGGGGAGGGGATTGGTTTACTATTACTCAATGAACCAGAACCATGGTATCTGACTAATTACTGCTCCAATATCCCACATTTCGAGGACTCAGAAGTCTGAGCTACAGAAAGGAAAAATGTCTTGGTTATTGATATATAATCATTCTATTTCATAGTATGATGATGTCCTGAGTGATGTGAAAAAAAAGCAATTGCATGCTCTTCTTTTTCTTAGTGATTAATATTTTTAGAAAAAAATACTCATTTTCAATATCACTATAAGTGAGCCTACAATAAAAATTATATTTTAGTCCTTAGATTTCATACCAAGAATTTGGCTTAATAGTCTCATTCATATCATTCAGACATAATTCCCATAGCCCATTTTTCCTGTTTCTTAATTAAAAGAAAAGGAAATAGGTGTTGGGACACACACACACACACACACACACACACACACACACCCACACCCACGAAGAGAGACAGACAAATAGACAGAGATACATAAAGAAAGAGACAGAGATACAGACAGAAATAAATGTAGAGAGACAGGGAGAGGGAAAAACAGAGGGAAGGAGACAGAGAGAGAGAGAGAGAAGCAGGCACAGAAAGACAGAGAGGAGTAATGTAGGTCAAAAATAATTCATTCCCATTTTAGCCTCTTCTACATTTAGGATATTTTCTAACACAGAGAATAGTCACCAGCTGAAATATAGTCCCTTAGTGGACCTAGTCATGGAGGGCATGCTGGATTCTTCCTTGCTTGCTACTCAGGGTCATATATTCTACAAGAAGCCTGTTCAGGTATCATAAAGGCACATAAACACTCTTATTGTGGAAGTTCTTATGGGGCCATGCAGATGGCACAGGGGATTCCTCAAGTTCTATATGACCATATTTCAAAGTGGATCCTTGAGCCCCACTTGAGCCTCAGATAACCACAGATTTGGCATGGAGTTTGTTTCTTCATCTGTAATGCTGAACAAGAAGCAGAAAGTCAAGGTTATGCCATATTTCTGGCCCACAGAACTGTAATACAATAAATATTCACAGTTTTAAGTTCGATAGTTGTAATTCTTGTTATCAAGAAACATAAAATACAAGTCTTGCCCTACTTCTTACTTTGTAGATACTACTTTTGTAGTCTTTAGTGTGTATAGTAATAAGGAACTAGATTTTCTACTCTGTTATATGAAAGATTACAGTTAAATGATGTGTTCTGGAGAGTACCCATAGTGATCTTCACTTCAAACATCAGGTTTTTACTATAATGAAACACTGATGATGATGGCTATGACAATGACAATGATGATGAGGATGATGACAATGACAGTGATGATGCTGGTGGAGGTGATAATGACGACGACAAAACAATACCACAACTTGTAAAATCACAGATTTTAGAAGTTCACATTTATTGTTTAATTTTACCCTTACAACAATTCAATGAGGTAGATATTATTTCCACTTAACATGAAGAAACTGAGAATTTTAGAGCAAACATGTGCTATTGAAATGCACATTTACTATAGTAACTGTTATCCCAAAGCATATGTCCTGACTCCAAAGTAATATCGTAAACAATATAAAGCTTACAATGGGAATGACTGTCTACTTTTGTTTCCTAAGCCCTGAAATCCACACAACATCTTATTCATCCAGTACCAAGGAGATTTTACACATTTTTCCTTTTATCTTGCTACTCAGAAGTAGGGAAATAGGGCCTGATTGCCCTAGGGGTCTTCTTAGATATCATTAATAGAATTTGCTAATAACCAAGTGACTGCTTTAGGGACTGGCCATAGGAAAATAATAAACATTAAGACTATTGTCTTCTTTGGGTATTCAAGTTAGTAACTTTATTAACTTTTGTAATTTTATGTTCTTCATTGTTATTTTCTCACTATCTCATAATCAATATGAAACAATATAAAAGCCAAGAACTAAAAACGCTAAAAGATTTCTTTATCTTTTCCTTTAAACAAATAATTCAGTTACAGCATTTGGCAATGAATTTTAAGTTTTACACTTTAAGGAGGAAAAATACTATCCATGATATTAGTATTTATTTTTCCCTTTCATTCCCTATGTACAAGGTATCATTACAGAATTTTTGTTGACTACTGTTCAGAAATTATAAAGGTGCTTAAAGCAGTCATCCTCATCAAGATCAAAGATCTAAATCATTTCGGAGAGGATTGATTGTCTGTGGCACACCACAGGTAGGTACAATTGGCCTCAAAGACTAAGTTCCTTTCTAGTTCAGAAACACTTGTCCCTGGATCTAAGATAAGTCTGAGACACAGCTATCACAATTAAAATAAATCAGTGAGTTAAATAAATGAAAATCAGGGGTTATTTTAATCTTATTTTGGAATGGGTGACCTCACTATTTATCCCAGGCTGGCCTAGAACTTAACTTACTGTGGCACACAGCATGGTCTAGGGTTGGAATTGCAGGGATGCTCCACTACACACAGTTTAAAATTGTTTGTACCATATATTCATAAAATATTCAAATAAAATTCATCCAGGGAAAGAGAAGTACAGCTCATGATCTGCTGACAGATATTGTTTGCAAAGTTCTACTTTTCTACCCATGCAAACTTTTCAGAAAGCTGTTCTTTACATTTTCAAATTTTTACATATTTGAAAGATTCAAGAAGAAACTATGTGAGCCATTCTTAGAAGGATTTTGGATGTTGAGCAATTTCCTCAAGACATCAAGAAACAAAGTCCTTCTTTGTTTGACACTACGGGCTGTTCTCATGTCTCAAGACTCTGAAATATTTATTTTTGCCAAACCAAGGAGAGCTTTAATTTATTACCAAATAATACTGTATACATTAGAAAAATTTGTATAAAAGTTCAAATACTTAATGGCAATAGAACCCAATCTGAAAGAGAGAAAACAAAAAGAGAGTAGTTACAGACTCCATGACACCCACACAGGTACTGGTCTCTTTCATCTGAGTTATTCCCTGTTTAAGTCTTCAGATAAATGGATCAATGGTGCTTCCTAATGACCATGTTACATGCTCTGCTGTGTTCTAAATGCCTTCAATTCTTCTGAGGCTCCCTGAATTTCCAAAATGAAACGGCTCATTTGCAAACAGTTTAAGCATCACATTTTTAGAGAGTACTTACCTAAGCCACTAAATAGAAAGTAACCAAATATGGCAACTATTAACTTTTTTCAACCAAGTTTACAGAAACTGTAATTATTATAACACAGTCTGTCAACAACCTTCATTTAGGGAACATTTATGTGAAAGCTTTATTCTTTTATGCATGGGGTTTCATCTTGATATCTTGGCACACTGATGTTAGATGTGAACATCAAAGTCTTTTGTTTATTTTATTAGATGGAGTAATAGAAGATTGATAGTACTTCCTAGCTTCATCAGCTTACATACACATCTCATCCTCATCTCATTTGTAGAAGAAGACTATGCCATGTGTTCAAAAAGTTCAATGGAATCTTCCCTTTCCAGTGGCACTAGAATATGTTTTTGTAGCCTTCTCTATGACTCCAGAACCCTGGAGATAGTTCTACTTAATAAAATATAAGAGAAAGAAATTAAGGAGTGTCAATTTAAGCTCAAGTATAGGACAACTGCAAGCTACACATTTCACACGGCAAGGACACAAAACTGCAAGCCCCTAAGCTGGACCCTTAGCATCAGCAAAAATAAGATGTGTAATGGGAAGTTATTGAAGTATTAGCCCAGCATAACTTATCTTACTCTAATACAGACGATGGCTGGAACACTCCCACCAAGTTCCAAAGAGTAGTGTTAGATAGTTCATACATTATAAATACATTCTACCAACCACTCTATTCGATTGTTTGCTTATGCTGAGACAATTCCAAGGGCTAAACAGGCCCTTCATTTTCAGCTATTGCCTGCAAACACTGTTAAAAGGATGATTTGTGGTCCTCCTTGGCTGGAGAAAATCAGAGCCTACAAGGGTAAAAGAGAGGTAAAAATTAATGGTTCTTAAACAATCTCTACATCAAAATCACCCAAGAAGTTTACATGGAGCTCTGCCCAGCCTTTGGGAAGCTCATTTCGTTTATAATAGTAGCAGCAAGAAATGTGCATTCCCAGATAAGTACAAATGGCTGCCATGTGAATGATTCAAGGAATACAGCTTGCCAAGGTTAAGGCAACTTCAATCTATCCCCCTTACAATCTGAAAAACACTCTAGGAAATATGAAAAGTGTTAAAGAATATTGTAGGCAATGGTTTTTCCAAGTGTGACTCATGGGATACCTACCTTATTCAAATAGCAAAGGGTGTGCTCTAATAAGGCAAACTGCTTTACTATGATCCCTAACTTCTGCAAGAACCTCTGTAGTGATGGAGCTGCATTCTTGTCTTCAGTGTAGAGCTACCCTAAAAGGGACTCTCAGATACATCAAAGTTTGCAACCATTATCACAGGGGTGATTTATCCTGTGCATGTTTAAACAATTAATTGAAGTTATTTCAAAATTGGAATCGGAGTTTATCCAACCACTTTAAACCACCTATCTGGAAGTAAATATATCATTGCTAGAGGTTTTAGAAATTATAAAAGGAGGTCACTCTGGAACTCATAGAGTATATCGCAGCTTCAAAAAATTAAATTTTGGTTTTAAGGTACACAGTTAATGCATTTATATTTATTTACTTTGACAAATTTCAAGCATGATGTAAGAGTCTTGAGAAACTATCATAACAAGTGTAGTTTTTAAAGTTATATGTAATGTGTAAAAAACTTGTATAAAATCATAATGCAAGGTTAGATGATCCACTAGACACTTGATATAACATGCCTCTGTGTGTAGAGTTTTCTTGGGATGGCTAATCTTTGTTGTAAACTTGAATACATACAGCATTAACTAAAACCAAAGTCGCTAGGCATGCCAGTGAGGGATTTTCATATTTAGGTTATTTGAAGTAGAAATACCTACACTAAGTCTGAGCCACACCTTCTGGCTAAAATCTACAATGAGCACAATGATGAAGGAAGTATTTGATTTTGCCTGCTTCCCCACTTTCAGCAACAAATTCTTCTATATTATATATTGCTGAGGCATTTTCCGATTGGTAGTAGAACCCATTAATTTAAGATACCAAAGTAGACGAAAGACCAGCAGCACTTTATGAATTTTCTAGGATTCCAGAAACATATTGAGACTACTTGGACATCTAGTAATATGGACTAAACAACTCCCACATAAACAACTCCCACATTTTTTAGCCTTTCCACTGGGAGACAGTCATTGCCTGATTTCCTGGACTATAACCTGTAAGCCATTACAATAGAACCTTCCCATACACACAAACTTCATTCCATTTGTTATGTTTCCATGGAGATCTATAAGCCACCTGCTTCTTCTATTGTGATATACATGGTTGTGATAAGATAGTTCCACTTATGACTTGGAATAATACTTTTTTCATATGGATCCACCAGGGTTAGTTTCAGAGTTGGTACTGGAAAACAGGTTAAAAGCCTAAATTAGAGGCCCAAGTGTGTCAATAACTGGCTGAACACCACTGGGAAAACCACTTACCATGGATAATACTTTCTTGTTCTGTGTTGAATTAGGATATTTTATGAAAATAAAAAGTGTAGCATGTATATTGACCTTATAGTATGTCATTTAATGCTGAAAATCATCCAGTGAAATTAATAATATTAGTTCCATTTTAGATAGCAGAACATCAGGGCTCAGAAATATCATATTCCAAGAGAAAAGAGAGAAGGAAGGCTGTATTCGACTTAAAATTCATGCTCCTAAATAGACAACATATTTTACATATTGGTATGTATATTTAACCAATAATTATGTCACTTTAGTGATAAGTAATCATAGCATATGAGAAAAATTCTTATTAGTTGCATTGTTGAAATATATGACAATGAATATAACTTTATTAACGGATGATGGTTAAGAAATAATCACATTAATTTCTGAGTCTTTCTTCATATGTTGAATATATAGCTCATTATCTTTCAGACTCTTACATAGCGAGATGCTCCCAAATATGACTTTATGTTGCTATGCCTGTACTTAACATCTTCAAAGAAAACCTGTACTTAATATCAAAGGAAATCAATATCAAAATTTAGCTTTGAGAATACCAAAATTACATAGTTATTTAAAAGAACTTGTATTTTATATTTATATCTCTTGCTTTAGTTCTTTATTTTATTTTATCTCTTAAGAAACTGAGTTCAAATGCTTTGTCTGTAGGACCCAGAGAAATCAATCTCATGGCTACCAGGAACCTCTCTCCCTGCTGCCTAGCTTTCATACGGTTAGAAGGTGCTATTGCAGGGTGCTAGTGAGAAAAGTTATTATGACTGTCTTACTCAGCACTGAACCCTGATGATACAATACCAGCTTCCCAGGCAAGATATACCCGCTGTTGAATAGAGGCATGATGCTTATGCGACAACCAACTATATTCTGATTGGATTTAGGCCTGCTGTATGACTGATATTTAATACATTTCTAGTATTTAAAATATGGTCCAATCCGATGGCTGGGGAGATGTATTGGTGGAATTTACCATTGCCATATTGTTAAATGGTCAGGTTGTCAAACCAACTATGTATTTAAAACAATGGACCTGTGATACATTCAGCTTTGATCAGAAAATCTCCTTTTTACAGTGGGATGGAGTCCATGCAGATAGTCATAACTAGTCAAATTGATAAGAATAAATGATTGAGACTACTTAACCCTAAATAGGACAACTTTATCAATAGAGCTGCCAAAACTTAGGCAACACTATGACAGAGGTGTGGCACACTTTGTTTCAGACATGGTATGTTTATTAAACTTAAAACTCATAGCAGTTGTGATTATAGCAAAAACTCCTAGGATTTAGACAGAATCATCCTTCTTTGGGGAGGTGGCACTGGTGGCTTCTGTTCCAGTGCATGACCCTATAGCTATACATATATATTGGTAGCTGTACTTTGTGTGTGATGTTTTTCTGAAGATTTGACGTTGGGACAGGGACTTATCAGGATCAAGGGAGAGCTGGTTAATGAAAATGAAGGCTAGTGGTAGATATGATCATCTTTAATTGAATACATACATGAATGTTTTCTTTATCTACTAATACTTTACATATTTACTTACTTTTATTTTGTGTATATGTGTGTACTAAGCATATGTATGCATACCGATCTTGTGTTGGAGTCCCTAGAAGTAAAAAGTAATTGAATTCTCTAGAAATGTGAGTTACAGATAGTTGTGAGCCACAGCCTTCATTCTCCTCATAGAATTTGGAGCCATGTATAGTATCCACTTTCTGATGGCAAATATGAAGCCTTTGAACATCTCTTTAAAAAATAATGCAACATGAAATGAGAACTCTGCGTTGAGCTGAGTCATTTCCACTGAGTTTCACAGCTAGGTACATGTTCTATCATAAGGAAGGTTTTAGACAGTGGGAGTTCTAGTTAAACAGATAAAATGAAGGCTTTTCACATGTGTTTTATCTCTGTACTACTCCCCTTGTCTTTGATTGAGAGACTGGCTCTGGGCCGAGCTCACTAGCAGTAGGGGTTACTGTAAGGAAGTAACACCTCCCATCTGTGGTCACCTGCTACTGTTTTAGATCTGCTTCTCTTCAGGGGTTTTGTGCTCATAACGTTCTTATAGTAAGCAGGCAACATATAGAGCTGAAAGAGGAGACAGGATTCTCAGCTGTCTCTTGGGCTGGAGGATTCATCAGAGCAACGCTATTATAAAGGCCAGTTGTTTTCAACTTGGGAAAGGAACATACATTTCTCATATGTTCTCACTTGCATTATCCCCAGGACAGAGTTGCCCAAGGCACTTGGACCCCTATTTCAGCATACATTCTTTGGCTGAGTACTTTTGCCTGAGATTACATACTAGTGACCCTCAGAATGAATAGATCTCACACATGAAGGTTTTCTTGGTTTTTTTTTTTATGTTTGTTTGTTCGGATTCTTTGACTTTATTTTACAAATTTAAGCCAGGATGTAATTGAAAGCATACATTCAAATATTAATGTTTGAAACTCATAAAAGAAACTTGGCAATTTGTCATGCAGAAGCTAATTCAATGGCAACAACCAAACAGAGCTGAGGAAACACTCACATGCTTTTTAGTTATCTACAGGCTCAAGGGCTCCTGATCGTTCCCTGGCTTGAAGGCAAAGAGCCATGTATCTTTTATTGGCATGTGATTACCTGCAGACAAACCCTACTTTTCTGAAGCTGCACTTTGTCTGTGTTGGTGTTAAACCAAGTCCACGGGTGTTAAATTTACATCTGTTCCTTTTTTTCCTTTTCTCTTACCTTCTGTCTCTTGGAGGAATTTGAACTTGACATCTGTTTTCAGAATTGTGAAAAAAGGCTGTAGGAACCCAAATCTACCTGCAGTTCCTTGCCAGGACTGAATTTTTCTGCTTTCATGTGAACAAAACAAGGTTCTTACTTAAGCTCAACTTCTCACAGAATTCCCACTCTGTAGCTTTGGTACTTCCATAGATTTCCAATTCATATCAGTAAAAAAAAGAAAACAACAACAAGGATCCCTCACCTTTGCTATCTAATCTAAATCTCAGTTTTCTAAACTATAATGTTCTTTTTTCAATAGAAATATTAGAAAATGCAAACTGAGGAGAGGACATTAAACATATGTTAGTACAAAAGACATGGCATAAAAATATACCTTTATTGAGACTGACAATCAATAGCATACTATTTACAGTGGACAATGGGAAGCAGGGATGCCTATGGGAAGATTTGGGGTCAAAAATGTGCTGTAGGCTTGTTGCTGATCTCTGTCCTACAATGTCCACCAGAACCTGCTCCTTTTCAAGTCACTCCTTGGGGTACACACAACCTGTGAGTGTCAAAGCCCTGGACTTTTGGGTGCACACACCCTGTGAGTATCAAAGCCCAAGTACACTTCACTGACCCATATCACAAAGAGACACCAGTTTTTAACTACCTTTGAACCACTGGGCAAGATCAGACTCTAAGTGACTTTTACATACTGACCTTCTAGGGCCCGAGAAGAGTGTGCTCTTCCAAGGCCGTTAGAGGCAATAACTGGATACAGGTGCTTCAGGTCTTTTGTCTCCTAGAAATAAATAGTTTTTAAAATAATCAATAAAAAGGGACACAAATCTGATAGTCTATTAAGTGGCTAAAAATGTCAATTATTCCCAAAAGTTTGTGACCCAAACAGAGTTGGTAGAAATAGCAGCCACCACCCTCCACGTAAAGAGATTATAAGATATAAAAGTCATTGTTATTGGATAAATCTGTAAAGTGGTGGAGTGTAAGTGCTGAGATCTGAGGAGTGGGTTCAGGTCTGGTGCCATTTTGTATCCACTGACTTTCAGACTCTTGGAGAGCAGGCTTACAGAGGTGTGTTTCCCACTGGGGGTGGGTGTGCATCTCTGCCCGACTCTTGCTCCTGAGGTGACTTTCTCCTTCACAGTAGGTGACACAGCAGCGACAGGCTGCCGAGGGCTTCCCTCGGTGCTTGGACATGGTGCCTGGGGCTGGCGCTGCTCCAGACACCCTCTCTGAGCTTCGGAGTTCTGGGGGCTCTTTCAAACGACTTCTCCTCTGAACATGGTCCAGACTGATGTCAGACTGAGAAGAACAGCTCTCATTCCAGCCGGAGCTGGCGCTCAGGCTTCTCAGAGGAAGAGCCAAGCGCAAGGCCTTCCAGAACTTGGAGCCAGAATGTTTGGATTTTTCTCCTTTCCAGCTTACAAACGACACAGACTCCTTCAGCTGCATGATGCCTGGGTGGGGTTGCTCAAGCGGACGGTACTCCACCACAATGAGCTTAGTGGCAATGGAGTTCTGGCACATGACACCCAGCTTAAACTCCAGCATACTGATGCTCTTTTCTGTCACATAGTCCGGGCTCAAGACAACAATCATCCTTCGGCTCCGCTGAATGAAATCAAACACTGCTTCCACCGTATCTATAGGGAAATGAAAAGATAGCATAGCATCTGGTAATGATGTCACCATACCCAGTTGGCCATTGTCTAGTCCACAAAAGATGGGCATGAAAAATTTTGAAAAAATAAAGTATCATTACTAAATAATCTACCCAGTTGAGAAATCAAGTAACCTCATCCATGCCACTCTTATTGACAATTAGGAAGATTTTGTTTCTTGTCGAAATAGGGATTTCCAAGGGGGCATGCTTGAATGTCACTCAGAAGGGGAAATAAAACAGTCATCGAAGGTTGAGGGAGGGAAATGGGTGATATGAGTAAGGGGATGGGTAAGAGAAGGGGATATCAGATATAGGGAGAGTTGGGGAGATAGGACCGAAACGTAGGGAGTTCATGGAACTTGGCATGGAGGGAGCATTTCTAGGATGTGCCAGAGACCTGGGATGGAGGAGGATGCAGAGAGCCTATGAGGGTGACTGCAGCTGAGACTCCTAGCAGTGGGGGATTTGGAGTCTGAAGTGGATACTTTGTGTACCCTGGCAGGACTTGTAGTATAAGGACAAGGACACCAATCCACCCACAAAACCTCTGGCCCAGTATGTATCCTGCCTACAAGAAGTGCAGGGACAAAGATTGAGCAGAGACTCAGGGTATGGCCAACCAATGACTGACTCAACTTGAGACCCATCCCTTGGGCAAGAATCAACCCCTGACACTATTAATGATACCATTATGCTTGCAGACAAGAGCCTAGCATTACTGTTCTCTGAGAGGATTCACTCAGCAGCTGACTGAAATAGATGAAGAGAACCACAGGTAAACATTAGACAGAGCTGGGAAGTCTGTGGAAAAATTGGAGGAGGAACTGAGGAATGCAGAGAAGACAGGTTTTCCACAAGAAGACCAACAGAATCTACTAACCTGAGCACTTGAGGGCTAGAAGAGACTGAACCACCAACAAAAGAGCATACAAGGGCCTCCTGTACATATGCAGCAGATATGCAGCTTGATCTTCATGCTAGTCCCCCAAGAACTGGAACAGGGGCTGTCTCTGAATCTGTTGCCTGCCTGAGGATCCTGTTCCTCTAACTGGAATTCCTTGTTAAATCTAAGTGGGAGACGATGGATGTCCCTAGTCCTGCAGTGACTTGAGATGCCAGGGTATGTTGAAGCCCTTCATCTCAGAGGTGAAGAGAGTGTTCTGACATAAGGGTGTGCGGGGGGGACTGGGAGGAGAGGGGGTGTGCAATTGGGATGTAAGTGAATAAATAATGGGTGGGGGAAAGAAGAGAAAAACAAATGGACAATTAGTATATGAAAAGAAAATAGGAAAGAGGGATATCTTGAATTTAATGTGTCTCCCTGCGGAATACCTGCTCCGTTGCAGATCTAGCCTTCATGAAAACATTTTCCCCTATCATAAATTTGAATTAAATGAACTATTTCAAAAACCAGCTGACTTTCTCTGCTTGTAAATAGTTTCTTGGTTTGGATTTTTTTTTATTTCATAGTTTTATCTGGTGGTCTTCTAATGTCCACAGGATCTAAGCACTATTGTGATGTTACTGAATTTTCTTCTTACCTCTGGGTTAAGTGTCCTCAGCTATTTCCTATTATTCTATACAAGACTTAATTTCAAAACTTCCATCTCTTATGTGCCTGTGAAGAGTAATTCAATTTGTATAAATGTCTTCTAGAATAATATTTTGAATAACAATGAACATAGTTACTTCTTCAGAACGTTTGATTGGCAGAGTATTAAGGGATTACTGCCTTCCCACATCCTGAGTTACAGCAGATCTCAGGTATTTAATTAATATTTTGGACTCAGTACTGGTCATATATCAACCAAAATTTCCTTCTTTCCTTGCTATTTCCTTTACACCCTCACTTCTTTGTTGCTTCAATTTTCTTTTGTCCCCCTTCATCCCCCCCCTGTTTCTGTATGTAAAGAAGTAGCCTAATGGTCAATTAAAGAGCCGAATGCCATCACTGTAGTTAAGAATCAATCCATTAATTAAGACTTCTGGCAAAGCAGGGGATATAAACAGGCCCCGAAGGTGTGGGGGGAGGTCTTCAAATTAATGCAGTTATTAACTGTGAGATACAGGGACTTAGAAAATATAGATAAGGGAAAAGAAGTCCACCTATGTGACTCTTAGTGCCCAAAATCACAAAACATATACCAACCAGTATGCCAGCCATTATTGAGGCTATATTTACCTTTCTTCAGTCTATGGAGACCCTGAGAGCTTGCGGTGAGTTTGGTATTTATGAAGTATAAAGGAATGAGAGAACCAGGATCCTTATCACTGATTCACTTTGTAATGAGTGAATTTAACTTGTTTAACTGAAAATTGGAAGGTTTTTGTTGTTGAAAGATAAGTATACATTTTCAGTTCTCAAGAGGCACATGTGTGTGCACAGATGTGTACATGTGCACATATGTACTTTGGTAACTGCCTTGTCCTATCTCTCTATACTTAGATTTTATGAAATTTCCTTTAATACATTAGAGAGCACATGTGGGAGGATTCTGCTGGTTTACCTGCATCAAGAGAAATCTTAGGATCATATGGCTAGATATTCAACACAGAAAACTTATGCAATCAAATCTCGTAAGTGTATATGTAGCTGTATCAAAATAATTATGTTAGGAAAATGTCTGTTCTTTTCAATGGGATAATCATGAATGAAAGTAAAACACATATCTTACACATTGTCTTGGGGCTTCTGGATTTTTTTTTAAATGTATCTTTTAAGAAAGTGGAAGATTTCCATTTGAAAGAGGACGGTGTGATCGTAAGGTTGGGTCAGGAGGTAAAGGTGCCTGTCAATCTGTGTTCAATCACAGCTCAGAACATGAGAACTGACTCCTGAACGCTGTCTCCTCCCTCCACTCACACTTACCCCACACACCCACACATGGGGATAGAAAATAAACACATAACAATTTAATTTTTAAAATCTTTAAAAAGAAACAGCTGAATAAAGATTAGGTGCTGAGCATGTCTTTCATACCATGCTTCAAATTTTGCTTGCATAAAATATCTAGTTAGTGTTGTACACAACTACATGGAGAAAGTGTCTTAAGAAATTTAATTAAGCAAGTGATAGACAGGTTGATGACACTCAAACAATGCCATGATTGAGTCTTCTATAAGGTCACCATAGAAGGGTGAAGGAACTTAATACTGGTTACCATTCACCCAATGGAAAACATCCAGACACAAAATAGAATACCGTGCATATTTCCTGTAATGGAGGATCTATCTGTGCACAATAGAGAACTTGGTTATCATTCAACCTTGCCTGACAGTTGTTTATTAACTGAACGAAACTTGTTGGCTCACGAGTTTGGTTCATGCATCCTGGCTCCATCCTTTTGTGATTGGAAAGAATTGTCTATACATTAGCCGAGTTGGAACTACAACCAGAGACATAAGTATGCTTTTGTTTTAAAGCAGCACTAACTGTGGCTTCTGTATCTGCCAATTGATATATGTATAGCCCATCCTAGATCACTGAACAATCCATTTTATTTAGACAGTTCTTTTACATACATGCAAAGGAAATGCTCTTGATATAAAGTTCACATTTTTCTTAGCCTTTCCTCAATAAATATTTAACTATTATAATGTCTTTAGTTTCTTTTTATAAATATAATCACTCTTTTTACTCTTACTTCTCAAGCCCAAACATGAAGATAAGGACACAAAACACATGCACAAAATAAAATTCAAAGGTGAAAATAAATGGTTTATTGTAAAAATATGTAAATATACACATCAAATGAAAATGGAAAATACAAATGTTTATGAATAAAATTAAAAAAATGGTCTTAAAGTACTAAAACCTATGGAAACAAATGGGCAGTTAACAAATAGAGTGATCCTTTTGTTTCTCAATACAAGACAGTACTTTTTAAATTAAAATTTCTGGGAGTCATCTAAGGTACAAAAGAGAATTAAATAAATCACGTGTGGCTGTATAAGTATACACTCTATATAGTATGGTTCTTTGTTAACCTGGGTTCAGAAGTTCTCATTATCATAAACTTAAAACCATGGACGATTTTTTAAAACAAGAGACATGATATATTTTCTTACCCTCTAAAGTACAAGTGTGTGCCCCCCACCCTGCTGTTTTACTTGGAGCATCTTCTGAAACACGGACTAGGATGTTGAAATTAAGTTCACTTAGGATGAGATATGTTCTTTAGATTTGATATGCTTTATGCTGTAGCACTGGAGTGGGCTCCGAATAAGAGGGGCACAGACATGACATAATAGTGGCTGGGATGAATACAGACTCCAAGCGTGCAGAAACTACACAGTACAGAGAGAACAGCCTGTGGTGACAAGCCTGGCCCTTATTTCCCCATAGCCTATGCAGAAGTAACAGTCAAAGCTTCTGTGGAAATTCATCTGGTACTGTGATTAAAGGGTTATTAGTAGATATGAGAATTATGTGAAATACCAAAAAAAGCATTAGCACTTCTAAAAGGTTAGATGCAAGAACAACACTATATCATAGTCTTAAGTCAAGGATTCAGAGGGGAACTCTTTTCAATTTAAAGTAATCAATAATTATAACATAAAGCAATGGTTTACTGTGGACTTCAGTACTGATGAACAGCTAAAAGTAATAGATAATTTTAGAATTGCTTAACATTATTAACACCACTTAGATAGGGTCTTCTTTAAATTATGAGTCATGCTTCATAGGTTACTCAGTCTCCTTTATAACTATATCTGTTTTTTTCATCAGTCCATATGGCTTAATATAACTTTGATTCTGAATGTGTCTTCAGGAAATAAAGGAGAAACTCAAGCAACATCAGATGACCGCTGCTGAACAGTGGTAATGGGAGGTATGGAGACAAGAGATTCCCCTGCATCCCAGATCAACTGTTGAAGCATTTAAGTCGTTCATATTAATTTAGGGGATGCAAGAACTATGACAACTATACACAGAGAGCCAGGAATTCAAAAATGGAACAGAAATGAAATGAAAACAACACAAAACCATGACACTATTAACATAAAGACTGAATACTAGTTTTACTGACTTTTTCATATTTTGCCAAATGGCTATTGAAAGATGTATGTGTGTGACTATGTATAGCCCAAAATAATACACATAGATAATTTATAGGCAGGTGGATATACACACTTACATGTTATTTGTGGTTACTTCTATATACATACACACATACAATTTATGTGTACAGAGATCATATATATGTATATGTGTATATACATATATATACATGTTAGATATGAAATAGAAATTGGCCTCTCTAAATGTAAATGTACTTGGCTTTCACTTTCCCAAGTCTGAGGAATAGTAGAATTCTGCTTGAAACTAATAAAATCACTTCATTATCAATGACTTGCAGGATGGTTCATTTGGAGCAGGTACTACAGGTACTGGACAATTAATTATCGTGAATAGTCAGTCTTTTGGAATAGTAATGCCGAAAGGAAACTCAGTACCTCTCACCTCCACTTCATAATGAAGAGGTGTGTGAATGAGTGAGGATTATCCACTTTCCTGGTTTTCCCATTAGTAAGGTCATAATTAAAGAACAAACCACAAGCATTCTCTTCTGTGCTCTCTTCCCATGTGAAAAAAAATGCCCCGAGAGCATTTTTGGATTTTCTCACTCTCCATTAGCACCATTAAAAGCTTCCCCTCAGACTGTGTCAAGTGTGGCGCTGCCTATGAGATATGAATGATAGATCCAATAGGGAGAGAGATGAAGGGACAGGTACAGACCTGTCTATCTGTAGACAGTTGAGAAATTACTACGATAGAACAAAAGCCACGGCTTTTTCAAGTTTATAAATATGATATCTATTACCTGAGATGTGAGCAAATGGGGTTTAGTAGTGGGAAGGCAGTATGCCACAAAATCAGTCATGAGGAACAGCTGTAGTTTGACTGTTAGTCTTGCTGAGGTGGTGGATTCAACAGACACAGAAGCAAAGGAGTGAATTAGCCTCAGCTCACACAGATTTAGGTCCTGATAACATGCTTAATGGATAACAGAAAATAAAAGAAAATTAAAAGATGGTCCTACTGAGAAACAGGCAATAGTCCTGTCAGCAGGTAACATTTCTTTAGATGGAGTTTCGAGCCACTGGGCAAAGCGGCTCCATAACAGTGAGATTTTTACAAAGATATTAGAAAAGAGGGAAGAACAGAGGTGGAGGAAGCATCAGACACATCTTTACTTGCAACGATCATAATGGCTTTTAGAACTGGCGACGGACTGTGGAGTCCATCACTGTAACCCTTAGTATTGCTGAGAAGCAGAGCTATCAGCCGTACAGTCCCTAGAATGTTCTCCTCTGAGGGGGCTTAGACAGGACTCTTTCTATCTATTAAGCCAGAGCTTAGGAGAGAAGAGGAGCCCCTTCCTCCCATGAGCCCCTTTGTTCTTTTCACCCCTCACTTTCCCTTTCATACGTTTTTCAAGGATGAGTAGGAGAGACCCTGCTTGTCACTGCTAGACCACCTGGAACTCTTCTTCACTGGCATGGCCACCTGCAGCTGTTTCCAGAACCTGCCCTGAGGATACTTGGATTTCTCCCCTTTCCATTTAATGACCGTGAGCACCGTCTTAGCCCTCTTCAGCTCCTTCACCTTCATGTCCTTCACAGCTTTGTACTGCACTAAAATGACGTTGATGTTGCCCCGGGAGGCCATATTTTCTAGGCCAGCCTTGAGCTCCAGGAGGGCTTGGGTTCCCTGGAGCACGTAGTTGGGGCTTAGGACAACCAGGAGTCGTCTGCTTTTCTGAATGAAGCTCAGGGTCTCATCTGTGACAACTGAGAAAGAAAACACCATGGGGATTAGTGTTGGCCAAGAACTCCCTGACACACAAGAACTGAAGGATGGAGGGCAGAGAGCTTTGGAACTACAGCCTGGGAATGAATCAAGGCTGAAGCAGCTTTGTCAGTGATACTCCTAGTGACATCCTCTTTAATATAACCACACTGTCCCAGGAATATCACTCTGCTGAAGAAAACTGGAGTCATACATAAGTGTCCCACTCCCCAACCATTTCCAAATAAACTAAAACCAAAATATGGTGAAATAAGGTGGGCTGGTGTTATTCATTCATCAAAGGCAATATTTGAACCAGATGGAACAGATAACATTGTGGTAACATCAGTTTCTTCAAGTAGTGTTGTAGCCCAAACAGCCTCCTAAAAAAATAAACTATCTTGTATGAAAAGTATTCAAACAAATATGAACTGCAGAGTAAAAGCCCCCAGTTGCAGCTGCAGCTAATCAAGGATAACACCAGGAAATGTTGAATTGGAGGCTCTCTCTCTCCCTCTGCTGATGTGTACTTTCCTGATGCCAACTGATGTCACTGTTGCTAGATTAGTAACTCAAGCAAATGGCATCTTGGCCAGCAGTATATCCCACATCAGCTCCTTCGTTTTCTCTGTTGTGGAGATGAAAGTACAACATGCATATTTCTCTTTAACCTCCAGTTATCACTGGGCAGCCCTTCGTCAGCTACTGCTAGCTGACATGTTTTACATTCACAAACTTTCAATTGCTTTCTCCAAGTTGAAAAAAAAATAGTGAGGAAAATGGAAATACAACCTAATTTTATTCAAGGGCTCTGATTAATTCCTGTCACTAAATTCTTGGGACAAATCTATCTCCTTACAGATGCAGAGGGAGACCCACATAATCCTTCACCCAGAGGAGAGACACTCACTAGCTCCAGGCAGTGCAGTGGTGTGGTGGAAATCACATTCCAACTGCCTTCAGCAGTCATTTCATTCTTAATCTTCACAGGTGCAGAAGTAATGGGGAACCACTTGCCAATTAAAATCTAACATGTGCAGCTCTTGGGAGAATCCAGGAATGGGTTATGTGTTTACTCTAAGCATTTCTACTGGTGGCTGAGCATGTATAAGCGTAGAAAGAAGACCAAAGGCAAAGTGGCCCCAGGAAGAGCAGCAGAAAGGATCTAAAGGGAACAGGCTCTACAAGATGCAAGAATAATTATGCATTCTTCAAAGGAGTGTCAGCACCCTGTGGAAGGTCTTGCCCATATGTACACTGCAGAGCTTAGCATCAATTTTCACATAGTAGATAAGATACCATGATAACTTTGTGGAAGGAAAAATAGTAGCATGAATGAGTTGAACAATGTAAGAAGTAATATGAGTGGAATTTTGCCTTTAACCATGCAAGCGATCATTTCATGATACAAAAAACACTAAAGGAGAATCATCTGTAGAACACAAGCACTGTCTTTGAGTGATGGTTTGGAAAATAAGATGACTGATACACTAACTCAAAAGGAAAAGAAAACTATATCTATCGCAGGTATCAACTACCCACACATTAAAAGCCGAAAAAAAACCCATATAAAACAGTTAATGTGAATAAGGGGGAAGGATAAAAATCAAAAACAATAAAGAGCATACTATGCTCCAGAAGAGAGGCAGTGCCCTCATTCTGAACAGGAGAGGCTTATGAGAGATTGAACATGGTTGCCAATCAGCTTGCCACAAATCTCCCAAATGAACCATGACTTTATTTGCTATTGTTTGGACTTTAAAAGAGGAGGAATTGGTTTTGTAGAAATATTCAGTAGTTAACACTTTTCCTTGTAAAAATGCTAGAATGCAGTGGGCTTGCACATTTTAAGCTAAAACTCAAACATACACACTGATAGAAAAGGAGATGCAAACAAGAAGGTAGATTTGAGGGGCACTAGCTTGTTGGCACAGATGTGAGAAAACACTGAGAAAGAGCACAGGGCATAATGTATTAGCAGGGAAATGCTCTATGCTTTCTGTCCTGCAACTCAGTTCCATTCAAATTGAGGAAACCTCAGTCTTTTTACAGTAGCATATTTCTGTTTGTAAAAGAATACACACACACACACACACACATATACATACATATACACATATATATGTATATATGCACATCAGCCTGACACTTCTTAAACATCTGCCTCTCAGTGAGATAGACTTCCTAAGGACTGGCTTTTTTTCTGAAAAGGAGTACTTAAAGATTGCATAAGGAATTTTTTTAAAGCCATAAACAGAACAGTGTGCACCTTCACTGAGGCTTTTTCTCTGTAGAATCTCTATTACTTGAAGGAATTGTATGTTCAGTATCTGAATACCATTACTTAACTAAAACCCATGTGTGCATGAAAGCTCAGGATCCACTTCCTGTTCAGAGTGGCACCGTTGCTACTCATCAGAAATACCTACTTCCCCCAGGCAGGCTGTCTCTGTCGAAGATGCACAGCTTGTATCCAAATTCATTCTCCAAAACTCCACGTAGTGTCAGTAACACAAATTCCTCTTCTTCAGCATTTCTTGCATAGGAAACATAAATGTCATACTCCTTTCCATCTAGCAAAAGGAACACATAGACAATATAAATTAGAAAAACTTCTCAAACTGTTATTCTTTTCTTAAATCTAACTTTTGGGTGTTGGAGTCTTCTTTTTTCTCTTCTATTTTCTTTCCTTTTTAAATTTTTTGTGTTTATGAACAATGTGTAATTTTCTAGTGTTGACACTATTCATGCCAAATGGGCATGGGAATTCAAACTGTATCTGATGTATCTTCTACTCTAGTCTCAGGAAGCTGACCCTATAACAGGTGAAGACTGCCTATGACTTAACTGAACAGGGATGAGAGTCACAGGCAAAAAATTTCTACTCAGTGTTCTAGAAAAAATACTCACTAATGAAATTGAGAAAGACTTTGAAACTGACTAAGTTATACCTAGAAAGAACTAGAATTAAGCTATGTTTAGGTTCAATATATTGATCTTCTCCAAATTTGCTTACCAAAATTCATGAGTCATTAAAAATATAGATTATGTGTTCCTTCCCAAAGCATGCTGAATTAGATAGAATCTTATGGCCTGGTCTATTTATCCTTTTCTATCAGTATTGATTCAATGTCTCATTCACACTATCAAGAAAATTTCTGCCAGGAATACACATTAGAATGTTTTTGTTGTTGTTGTTGGTGGTGGTGGTGGTGTTTTTTTTTTAATAGTGAGAGCCAAAATAAAAGATAATTTTAAACTCTAATGTATACTTGGGTCACCTGGGGGTATTGTTAAAGTGTAAGTTCTGGTTGAGGTTAAGTCAGGTTTTGTTTCTACAGTTAAAAGTGTTTTGGATGATCATGATACTGTAGGTCCATGGGCCTTCCCTTGAGTACAGCATGTGAACCTGCATCTGGATGTGGTGGCACATGGCTGTAGTCCCAGCACTCAGGATTGTATTCAGCCTGGGCTATACAATGAGACACTGTGTCAAAACACAAAGGAGCAAACAAAGCAAAACAAAAGACTGTGAACTTGAACTCTCCTATCAGTAGCCAAGGATCACATGTGTCTGTTGACCATCGGAATGCAGCTGTTGGAATGGAGCTGTGCCATGACTGCAAAGCAACGTTCTGAATTTTCAGTACTTTCAATGCCAAAAAGGCTGCAGAGCAGCTCATTAACATCTGAAAACAATTTTAATTCTTAAATACTAATGGGAGAAGATTGAATCAAATATTTATTTTTGTTTGTGCTCTTTGAGCCATTGGAGAAAAATTGTGAGTTTCCTGTGTGATACGCATCACATTTTTTGGATGGACAATGCTAATCTAGATTAAACCACATATCTATTAAGAAAGGTGAACAGTGCACCCTGGAAAGATTTATTCTTACTAGGAAGAGCTAAAATAAGAGATAATATTATTAATCACAATAGTTCATCTGTTAAGGTAGCATGCTTTCTGAAGATGATGGTACAAGTGATTTGCAGTACACTTCCATTACTTACCAAGAATTGTTTCATCTGTTCCAAAATGAGCCCGGTAAAAGAGGACCATCTCGAGCCAGTAAACATGGTAGACCACGATGAGAACCACCACCAAAAAGACCGTGGCTCCAAAACCACAGGCGAGTTCTACTGTGTACCTTGGTGGTATGACTATAGCAAATGATAAAATACGATAATGATAATTAACTTCTATTTAGTGACCACAGTTTCCCACCATATTATTAATGGCTGGATCAACCATGCAGCTAATTCAGGCACTTGACGCACACAAGTTAACGAGCAAAAGCCATGTGACAATAGTTCAGGCATCGTACTTCCTTACTGCTTGTTGTTGTTTATAGCTCCTGTCACAGAAAGTACTTTAGATTACTCAGTGATTTGAATAGATCCCACTTGTATACAAAATAAAATAGGATCAGATCATTGGTAAAGATTTCCAGGAAGGTTATCAAATTCAAGTCAACATAGGGCCTTGTGCATGTAGGCAAATGCTCTACCACTGAGGAATATCCCCAGCCATATACAAATTAAAATGGTTTTGCCATATGACACAAACTCACCAACTTCCTGCTTCAGCCTCCTGTTTACTGAGACTGCAGCAATGTACCACAGTTTTGGGTCAATGATATATTTAAAAGTATCATATTCTGTACTGATTATTTCTTACACTGTGCTCCCAAGAAACAAAGAAGGCAACTTGACAAAAAAAAATTGTGATGTGTTTATTAAATTTGATTCCATATTCTTTCTAACATCTGTATCAAAAAAGTTAATTCCTTTTGTTACTTTTTTAAAAAGCTGCAATGTTAGTATTTTCATTGGGTAGAAATGGGCCAATCTCCCTAATAGCGAATGTTATTTGGTTTGAGTACTTTCCAAGTTCACAGTTCTATGACAAACACTGTAGCGACTGACATTCACTATCTCACCTTTGACTCATTCCTTATTATCCACTTACATTGTTACATGGTGGGTATCACAGAGAGGCTTTATGGAAATATTAGAGATAGAGTAGGACAATTCCCAATTTATTAGAATCTAGGTATTAATTCAGAAGCCTTCACAACACGGCCTCCTGTTCTACTAACTAATTCTCCAGTCATTGCCCACTTCATTCACATCCCTCTTTTCTCAAAGGTATCAGGAAAAACAAGCATCTTGCTGTGACTAGGGTATGACTTCTGGTCAGAATATGTTTTTCCTTAATTTATTTCCCAAGTTCATTTGCATAAGTCTTTATTTTCTATCATCTTTAAACTATAAAGCTGTTCTTTTTAGCCTGTACTTTGGGCATAGAAATGTCTACTCTTCTTTTTATGATTTTATTTCAGCATTTATTGAACTGTGGTTAGTCAACAGGCATGCTTCCCAAATCCTTTCTACTCCCAGCTAAACTGGACCTTCTTACCCTTCCATGTGGAAATTCATTTTGTCTATCATATCTCAGGGTCTCTTGGGATCTCGATGAACTTTTCCAGACACAGCATATTACTCTTTGTTTGTTTGTTTTTCACTCATTATGACAACCAAAGAAGCCCAGTTTTACAATCAATGGCAGAAACACCATTCACTGATTAGATTGGCTGTGGTACTACAGCTGAAGAGGAGTGTGAGGAAGATACAGAATGGTTGATGGATATGAAGCAGGAGTTAGTATAGGTTGGTTTGCTAATAACTTTCTTTTTTATAATGCATGTATATGGCAGAAGCTAGGGAGACAGAACTGTGAGGAAACAGGAAGGGCTAAAAATCTAATCCAGGAAGAAAAAGAATAAGGGAGTAATACATTTGGCTAATTTAAAAACTCTTACTGGTGTGTTTTAAAAGCAGATAGTGTGACGGCTGATTAAGGAGTAGGACTGCAGCAGGCAGACTCTAATAGTGGGGACGCAGCAAACAGAAAGCTGCTGTAAACAACTGAACACTGTAGGTGCCAAGTGTCTGCTAGGACAAGGCATGGGAGAACATTCTCCAGAGCTGGACTGCTATACAGGTTCTCCAAAAGTAAGTATATTTTTGTGTAATGCAATCAAGGCATTAGATTATTGATCATTTGGTGGGAGTGGGAACTACCTTTAACATGATATTTTATCCCAATGAAAACGTGGTAAGTAGCCTGGATCTGAGTCCAAAGTTCTCAAATTTAGGGATAAAGCGTTGACTTTCAAGTTCAATGACCTGACTCCAGCTATTACATATCTAGTACAGGGAGAACTCTGGAACTGGCCAGGAGAATATTGTTATCATGTGTGCTCCCACGATAACATGGGATCATGGTGGCCCCAAGGTTAAGATTTTTTAAATTCATTGTTTTTTTTTCTAAATATCAATAGAGGTCTTGCTTAATGACTGAAAGATCAATTAACCCATCAATTTCTCTCTGGCATCTCATATTTCTAGTGTGTGTATTACTCTGGGTTTTCCAAACTTGTTTTCTATCACCAATGTTATGGATCATATTTACAGATTGTGTTTTCTATAGTCATTTTGTTCATGAAGATTTCCTAACACTACATAACAACTGGCCCTTAAAATAAATAATCCGCAGGGCTTCCTTTTTGAAAAGGCTGGAACTGTTCGCAGGCTTATTCTACAGGCTATGTCTTTTTAAATGGAGTGACCTTACAGGGAAAAGTGACCCTTAGCCTATACTTTGTGTCCTTCCCCCTGCAGGTCTTGGCATTCGGCACAATCATTGCGTGCTGATGCAATTTCAAACAAAAAAGCTTAAAAACAGAAAGGAGTGATGCAATCTGCCCATGCTGGACTCCTGCTCTCATCGATTCCACTAAAGTGTCAATTAGAATGTAGCCAAAGGTCGACATTTGCTCATTTTTATTCTCCAAATGAGAATTCACTTTGTAGTTTCTGTATTAGAAATTGGCTCTAAAGCCCATATGCCCAGCCAGCCATCGTTGTTAAAAGAATGCAGAACCCCAAGCTACTCCTCTCCCTTGTTTGGGGTTCTGGCTCTACAATCATCTTTGTCCTTGGCAATCAAATGTATTTATCTTCACTGTTGCAGTTGGCTTGTAATCTATTGAGTTCTCCCTTCACATGGCAGCAGCCTGGACTTTCAAATGTCCCCTGTTGCAGAGCCCAGGGCTAGTCAGTACTAAATTCACTATAATTTTGGAAATTTTGGTGATGACCATTGTCTGAAATGTTAAGAAAAGTGTGTTTGACTTAAGTAAAAATCAAAACAGAGATCTGTGAATTGACCTGCAAGTCTGATGGCTTTGATAACCTCTGATCTTACTGTTGGAGACTGAATAAGAAACTGATACTGAAATAATCATTCCTCCAGAGTATCGAAAATAATGTTGCTTTGCTTTTTACATTGGACAACTACTAAGGTAAGCCCATGGTCATTACATCTTTTTTTTTTTCTAAATAATTACCGAAGATAATTTTTGGAGTTTGGTTCAGAAGGGAAAGTCATGAAAAGGTGGCAGTAATTCTTACCTCGTGAGAGATATGAGGGTAGGGACTATTATGTTGAATTTCAAGGACTAAGTAACAGAAAGAAGAGAAGAACCAAGTAGAAAATGAACTCTAGAAATCTACATAAGTTTAACTTCAATTTGTGGCCAAATACAAAAGCTGTGGATACTTGGGTCTACACTTAGAGTGTCCTATAAAAAGTGTCTATGAAATGACCAACCATAGGGGCTCATGCAGGTCTAAGGGAACAGAGAGGCTCAGTATCAGAGCAAAGAAACAGTAGCTTCCAAAGAGGCAGATATATAATGTAAACAAGTTAACCATTGGCTGCAATAAAATTCAACATTTTTACAAAATATACCTATTGGGCTCAGAATAATGACAAAATACAGGATAGGAGACAAGTAAAAGCATCACTATCCAAAAGAAATATCAAGCAAAAATAGAATGCAGAATTGGCAAAGATGATTTATCAACTAGATAAGCACTTTAAAATTCATATGAAAATGTGTCAGTAGAAGTTTTTTTTAAAAAAAGGAACACTGTGAAGAATAAACAGGAAGTATCAATGGAGACATTCTGGTAAAGTATAAATATAAAATCTGAAAAATGCATTCTTCAAAAGTAGTATGAATCATTTATGACAAAATAAATCACTAAAGTCTCTGTAGGTTCTGAAAAGATTGTAAGGAAATGATACAAACAATCCATGAGCGGACATCCCAGCTTAGGAGAGAGAACAATCAGAAAACTGATACAAGTAAGCAATATCTTAAGGAAAAAGAAGAGGAGAGAGACAAATAAAAAATGTGATAACTACCTAGTTTGGGTAGATCAGATAAAGATCAGTACATAAAAATCAATTAAGTATTTGTATGCTTTATTGTTAATCAATTAGAGAAGAAAACTTAAAAATAACCTGGTAGCCTAAAATTAAAATATTTAGAGACAAATTTTATAATAGTCAATAAGGTTCTGCATACTCAAATATTTTCTGAATTGATTAAATAAATTACTAAGACTATATACAGAGATTTGTTATCTTTATAGAGTGGTAGACCCAATATTGTAGTAATCAATATTCCTCACAAATTTAATAGAGTCCCAATCAAAATCCCAGCAGAATTTTATTTAGACATTGATAAGTTGATACTGAAATATGTAAGAAAAATTGGTAGTTTCTAAAATAATGAAATTATCTTGGAAAAGAAAAGAGGGTGCACAGTGTTTCTGATTTAATAATCTAAAGCCATATTAATAAAAATAGTGTTACACTAAATGCAGACTAGATGATAAAATCAGTCAGTTAAGGAGTGCAGAATGTCATAGCGGCATTGGTTTCTTTTGACTAAATTTAGAGACAGATCAAGAAAAACAAAAGTGAAACATGTTCAATATGATGTCAGAACAATCATTTCTGGGAGAAAGAGAACAAAACCAATATCAGATGTCAATCTGCAATGTATGCCCTCAAAACTATAGTCCAAGATAGAACACAACCTAAACAGAAGAGAGAAATCTCGGAACAGAGCTTAATGCCTCTGCTTTCTTTTTTAAGAAAAAAAGTAAGTACATAATTCAGAAAGTACCAATTCATAAACAAAGAGATCAGTAAAATGAGCTTCTTCAAATTATTAAGAATTTTGTTTATCAAAACATCAACTCATAGGGCCCAGTAGTTAAGAGGACAGTTGCTTTTTCAGAGGACTACGGTTCTTTTCTTAGAACTTATGTGATAGTTTACAGCTGCTTTAACTCCAGTTCCGTAAGATCTGACGTCTT